AGCAGGGAAGCACCTGCAAGGCTCTGGTCATTCAGCTGAGAATGCTGCTTCATAAAAATAACTTCCCTCTGTTGGAATCAGTTCTGCTCAGTGCAGCTTAAATATAATCGTGACCTGCCCTGCGCCTGTTATGAGCACCTCCGTCGTCATGAGGTGGTTTTCATCCTGCAAGAAGGACTTTTGTCCTTGGACAGCTGTCTTTCGGACGGTGGTCACAGGGAGCCTCCTGGTGATGGGTTTGATGCCTCGGGGTAAATGCTCTGCATCTCCTCGTCCTGACTGAAGAGGGTCACCTTCACTGTGGAGCGAAGGAAACGGGTTCAGAGAAGCTGGACAAAGTGCCCAGCCGAGTGATGGAGGGACTTGGGCGTGAGTGTTGCCCAACCCTAAAGCCAGGCCTGTTTCCTCCACAGCAGGGGTTGGCACAGCACCCCAGCAGGCCAAGTCCAGCCCCCCACCTGCTTGTTTAAATCAAGTTTAATTGGAACACAGCCACGCCCATTCATTGCCGTGTCTGTGACCACTTTCCCGCCACCACGGCGGAGCTGAGCCATTGCAGCAGACACTGATGGCCCTAAAAGGAGTCTGCCCACCTCTGCTCCGTGCCACCCGCCCCACAATAAATACAGAAGACCTAGGTGCTGCTCCTCGGGCCCACAGAGCCCTTTCATTTTTCGCTCCTTTTCACTTAACGCACTGGACACCACTTGGCAAAATCTCTCCTTTACAGGGACTGGCCTTGGCAGTTGACTCCCCAGCTGTGGCAAGACTACAAAGTAAAACCCTCTTTAGTTTCCAGAAGTTGTCCTAATTTTTAAAAATAGACTTTTATTGATTTCAGAGAGAAGGGAGAGGGAGAGAGAGATAGAAACGTCAGTGATGAGAGAGAATCATTGACCGGCTGCCTCCTGCATGCCCCCTACTGGCGATCAAGCCCACAACCTGGGCATGTGCTCTGACTGGGAATCGAACTGTGATCTCCTGGGCTATAGGTCAACAGTCAACCACTGAGCCAAATGGACCGGGCAAGTTGTCCTAATTTTAAAGTCCTCTGGGCAGGAAGCGGGTGGGGGATACTGACAGCTGCATCTGGAACAATAACTGTCCCTGGCAGGTGAGTCACCAGTTTTTACCTGAACTTCTCCTACTTTTGCTGGGCAAGGCCCATCTCCCCACTCCTAACCTTGGAGAGTATCCCTGGCCTCCGGGAAGTGATCCTGCCTACACATGAGCTCTCGGGCTCTCTCTTCCCAGACCCACTCTCCAGGCAGGATCCCTCCAATGTTTTGGTCCTCAGGAGCTGTCAGTCATTTTGGTTTGTGTAAGGAACATTCCTAGGAAGAAAAATGGTCCAGTCCTGGAGCCCAGCAGTGAAATCTGTCCCGCAGGAGTCATCTCTAAGCTGGGCTGTGCTGGTACCTGTCTTCCCCAGCACAGCCTTTTTTCTTCATTAGGAAGACAAATCTGTTTCATGGGCACCATGGATTGGGTACATTGAAACCCCCATTAATGGACCTGCTCAGTAGCGGCTGCTGCAGTGGCTTCTCCAGACCCTCCGCTCAGCTTCAGATTCCCCTCTGCCAGGGAGGGAACCCTCAGACACCACATGGAGGCTTTGTAAACCGGTCCTATGATTCTGTTAATGACGTATTTGTTGATTCTAGAGATGCTAAATGGGAGCCAAGGCATCTTTGGCATTGAACGTATCAATCATGATTTCAGTCTGGAAAATTCTGTATTAAGCACTATGGTCTACAAATACAATAAGAAACAGTTCCTGCCCTCTGGCGACAGGTACGCCAATAACGACCCTGACTCCTCTCTAGTGATATGACAAGAGTCACTGTAGATGCTCAGTCACTGGGGGCTCAGAGGTGCTGCTGGATGCTGGTGAGACCGGGGGTTCTCCCACTTGAGTGCGCATCCGAATCCCCTGGACGGGCTGTGGAAGCACGGATTGAAGGGCTGCCGGCATGCACTCTACGCCATTCTATATAAGGCACCTGAGCATCCTGACCAGTCCCCCGCGGAGACCGAGGAGACTGCACCAGCATGCTTGTTCTATTCAGGGATCCTTGCGCTTCCACCTTTAACCCCGTCTTCTAAGGAGACCAGAGGTTTTCTCCATTTAAAGTACAAGGTCCTGTGGGACTCTGGCTCCTTTTGTAACATGTGATGTTGGCTCAGAGAACACGTCCTCGGAGAACCCCAGAAACACACCGCAGGCACCGTGCAGACGTTGGTGAAATGATCAGTCGGTTCCAACAGTGAGTGCAAAGCTTAAGAGACGGCTTCTTTGATGTCTGTGCGAAGCACACGCTCTAAGTAAGACCTTTCAAGTTCATTGATTTGCTGATGCCTCTTCAACATCGTCCATCCGTGGGCTTTGCAAACAATGATAAAAGGTCTGGTATTTTCCAAAGAGGACAGAGTTCAGGACGGTGGGTGTGAGAGTCTTGATTTACATCACGCATGTGGAGCGTTAACAGAGGTCTCATGCCATTAACTGTAGCTCATGTAGAAGATGCTTTGCAAAGGAATAGAAGAATATGTGACCTCGATAACTGTTTGGTCTTCTTAAAAAATCAATGGCATCTCCTGCTGGGGTCATTTTCCTTGGCACACCGTGTGACCACAGAGGTTCTTGGGCCATAGACAAGCAGAACTGTGAATAAAGTAGATGAAGCCAGTCTTGGTTCTAGCAAACCTCTGTTCTGTGCTGCATACTCACCATTGGCATCCCTTCCCCTGCGGCCAGGGGCACTCACGGTGTCTTCCCGCTTATTCTGTCAACTTGCTCAGAGGAAACGGTCTCTATTTTCTTCCAACTGAAGTATAAGAGATTGTGGGGAGCTTAAAGGATTGTCCCACTTACGGATCCTTGCATATAGCAGGGATCAAAGTGTAAAGCTAGAGGAAGGAGGTTCTTACAGCGGATTTTAAGCACAAGCTATAAATGTAGGAGCTGCCTGGGGATTATCATCAGTTCCATGCAAAGGGACAACCATGAGAATAGAATGATGATTTTCTAAAGTCATTTCTTACTGAAGTAGCAGTGCTCTTTCTACCCAGCTTTCTTCTCGTTCTTCTCCTGGATCTGGGCAACCACAGCCCCACAAGCTTGTGTCCTCTTGGCCTTTGTTGTATTTGTAGGCACTTCTTGTTGCAAGTGATAAGAATCCTGTTCACACCGCCCAATGCCAGGGTTGGCCCGACGTGGGTGAATATGGCTTCACCGTTACAAACACCCCTACACACACGTCTACCTTTCCTCTGGCTGACTCTCTTGACAGAGATCACTATCTTCCGCTGTCCCGCCAATTAAGGGACACCTAGTTCTCAGTTTGAGGGGAAAGAGCTTGCTTCAGCTCCGCCTCCAGCCCAGTCAGAAAAGCCTGGGGAAGAATGCTGATTGGTCAGTGGGGAGACCATGGTGGCTAGTGGGGGGTGATCTGGTGATGGTCAATGTTAGGAGCATGTTTCAGCTGCCCGCTGTGTGCTGAGGGGGAGATGTTGCCATCGCCTAGCAGTGATGAGGAGGTTCCGGTTTGCCACAGCGTCTTCATGCTGTGAAATGGTCACCTCCGTGACAATAAGATTCCATGCAGATGGCATCTTGGTGGGACTGTCCGTGGGCAGTGACGGGGTCATTACCATGCATGAATAGTGAATGAGCAGTGATCATCAGGAGTGGCCTGGGGTCGCATTTATAGTGACAAAGGGTGAGCACTACCCCGGACTGTTCACGTGATGACGTATGTGCTGTGTCCGCCATATTGGGCTATTGGTGTCTTAGGATTCAGCTGGGTATCTGCGACCTTGGACAAGGCCTCAATCTTTCTCAGTATCAGTTTCTTTCCCTTTGAAATGCGGTAATAACGCCTCCTCTCACTGAGGCGGTAAGCTCACAGTGCCTGGCACGGGATCTAGCATGTAGTGGACCTGCACTTGGGATTTTCTCTTACACGAAGTTACGAAGCCACCCCTGGGCAGCAGGATAGTAGAGTATTGACAAGCCTGGGTCTAATCCCAGCTCACCCACCTCCCAACCAGCTGTCTGATTTTGAACTAGTCACTTCATGTTTCTTTCGAAGCCTCAGTTTCTTTATATGTAAATGGAATAATGATAATAACTACTTCCTAGACCTTAGTGGATTTAAAGAGGGAACATATTTAAAGCACCTACCATCATATACAGCGCATAGCAGTTCCCTTATCAACAGTAACAGTTGTTCTCAGCTGTAGTGGAGGGTTAAAAAAAAAAAAAGCAGCAGCTGATCATTGCAGACCTCTGCCTCTGTGTCTGCTGGCCTCGCCTGCTGCCTGCACCCTCATGAAGGTGAGTCCACATTGACAGAGGTGCAGTGGGTACTTGCCTCTTTATGGGCCGGGTCTGTCCTGGGGCACAAATTACCAGATAATTCTCTTTTTTCTTGAGGCTTCTAGGGGGATATGTCTATTCTAATATAATAGACCTCAAAGAGGCATTTGTATGATCCCAAAGCATCATTTGTATGAACACTTAGGCCTTAACTACATGGGGATAGCATCTGGGAGGGGTGGGTGGTGGATATCGGTTCATATTCATTTGAATTGATGCCAACCGAACTTCCAGTTCATCGTGTCTCAGCGGCTTTCTCCTGGGGAAAAAGAATGTTCATGCGGACGTCTCGCTGTTGCTTGGACTTCGTTCATTCTTGAATGTGTGTTGTTCATAGTGTTGGTTCGGTAGCAGTCACTTCATGTCTGGATCCAGTGAAGTGCTCCTCCCACACCAAGCCTCTCTGCCCCCAGCCCCAACCCAGCTCCTCCCCGTGGTTCCAACGATACAAAAGAAAATGGGAGACGTGCACATGGTAGTTACTCTTGGGAAAAGCACGCTCAAGGTCTGGGCTGAGAGCACCCAGAGGGGTTCACAGAGCCAGGGAGCTGTTAGCTGGAGACTTTTCTGAATGGACAAGGTCAACCCCAGAACATCATGGTCTTCCTTTAAACTACAGGTAATGCAGGTGGTAAAGGAGCAGGTAATGAGAGCTCTTTCAACCAAGCCTAGCTCCCTGGACCAGTTCAAGAGCAAACTGCAGAACCTGAGCTACACCGAGATCCTGAAAATCCGCCAGTCTGAGAGGATGAACCAGGAGGACTTCCAGTCTCGCCCGATCTTGTAAGTTACCCACCACCTCCACTCCACCTCCTCCAGGGCTCTGACGGGCCATTTCTGGAGTGAAAGTCTCTCTCAGCCGGCTGCGCTGGGAGCTCTCTGCCAACGAGAAACGTTCCGAGGCATCGGAGCAGCCCCTGGGCAGGCTGGGCAGGGCGGGCTGAGCGGGAGGGGAGGTGGGCAGGTGCTGGTCAAAGGATCTAAACCAGGACATGGCCCAGAGACTGATGAGCCCTCTAAGGATGTAGCTGAAATGTTGGGGACCCTTCCTACCACTGGGAGCAAACTTTGTTGCTCATGAAGCGACATTCTTTGGAGGTGCCTTTGAGGGGCAAGCTGCGCTGGCCCAGCCAGAGTGAGGCCCGTGATAATTAAAGCAAAATCACTCAAGCAGCGTGCGTGGGAGGGACGGAGCGCTTGAGAGGCGAGATCCACCTCCTCCCTGCCTGCTGGCTCCGCTCGGCATCACTTCATATTGCCCTTGTGACTGTCAACTGCAGGCCCGGGGCAGAGAGGCAGGGCCCCTCTCTATAGGACTTGGCATCACAGCCCACCAGCAGCAGTCGCTTAATTTCATGTGTCTGCATCTCTAAGATGTGCTGAACCTTGGGCGCAAAGGCTGTCTGGTTTGCTTCTTCTTTTCTTAGCACTGGCCCGTGTGTCTTCCCTGCCCCTTTCTAAGAGCTCGGCAGTTTTGGTGCCCTTGTCACTTATAGGGGAAGAAATGGGGCGGGGGCGGGGGAGGGTAAGGAAGGTACTTGGTGCTGTGCTCACTCTGCTGGACACAGCTGCTTCTAAGCTTTGTGTGAAGCCAGCTCACAGCACAGGTGTCACTGGGAAGCCTGTCTTAAACCTCTCTCTCTCTCTCTCTCTCTCTCTCTCTCTCTCTCTCTCTCTCTCTCTGTCTCCCTGTCTCTCTCTGTTTCTGATTCTTGTTCTTTCTGCCTCCCTTTCTGTTACTGGCTCTTCTATATCTGACATGTCTAATGCTTGGCAATTCGCTTGGCACCTCTGTTTTGTTTTCTCACGTCCCTGTGCGATCAGCAGGTCTTGTCCCCATCCGAGGACCAGGATGGAGTCTCGGCAGCTGAGGCCTTTCTTAGCAGCGGGGGAACCAGGACTTGAAGTCCAGCCCGCTGATCCCTCAGCTCATGCTCGTCTACCTCAGAGTCCCTTTGCCAAGTGCATGATTAAGATGCATTTTAAAAAGGTGCACAGGTCTGAAAAGACAGTAGCCAAGCCATGGCATTCCTTCTCAAACCCCAAGTCACCTTAGAAGCCGCAGAGCAGAGCTGCAGACTTGCATGGGATGAGGTCGGGCACAGGGGCGGGGAATGCCGCCCAGTGTCTTTGGAAAACCTCAGTGACACCCGTCCGCTGCTTTCCCGTGACCTCGCAGTTAAGTCCAGTAGCTGCACAAACAGAATGTGGCCACAAAGCCTGCAGGGTTTACTCTCTGGCCTTTCACCGAGCAAGTCTGCCAACCTCTGTTCTCAATGAACACTGGGGAGCACTCAGAGGGCAGACCCCAGTCCAGGAGAGAATCTCACCAGCCTGGGTGCCGTCTGTCTCTCTGCCTCCGGGGGCCTGCACCTGGAGTTGTCACAGTGCTAGGCTTGGAATTGCTCTTCACACTCTCATTTGTCTACCTCTTTTTTTAAAAAAATACCTTTTTATTGATTTCAGAGAGGAAGGGAGAGGGAGAGAGAGATAGAAACATCAACAATGAGAGAATCATTGACTGGCTGCCTCCTGTATACCCGCTACTGGGGATCGAGCCCGCAACCTGGGCATGTGCCCTGACCTGAATCAAACCATGACCTCCTGGTTCATAGGTCTACGCTCAACCACTGAGCCACACCAGCCGGGCCCTCCCTCGTTTACTCCTCCTTTTATTGATTTACGAGGCCTTTAGATGGAACGAGAGGAATATTTGTCAAAACCAGAGCCAGGGAAACTGCGCCTTCCCCACCTGGGAAGGGAACACCACAGAAGACAGGTCATCCACAGCTCAGAGCAAGCCCAGGGTCACGGTGTGTGAGCCTCAGCTCCTGTCGAACACGGAGCGTTTGGAGAACATAATCTAAGCAAACTCAGTGCTACCTTGTGCGCACACTGTCTCCTTGGGGAGTCACAACAGTTTCCCAGGAAAGGCACTCCATCCCCATTGTACAGATGAGGAAGCTGAGGCTTAGATGGGCTACATGACAGGCTCGCCTTGGGCAGAGCCTAGATTGAAGGCCCAGCCTTCTGAGTTCTAGGTCTGCGTTCTAATCACTACTTTCAGCACCGCCCCGAGGGCTGGGCTCTGGGTCTCCCTGCCCGGTTCCCACTAGAGCAGCTCGATGAACATCCCATGATAAAAAGATCTCTGCTCTTAAAAATGGATTTAAAAATCCATTGAACTCTGTCAAGATAGCTTCACAACCCAGTGCATGTAGAAGGAAATTACATTGTTAGCCAGAGGCAGGATGCAAATAAGCCTTAATTCATGTCCTCGCCATCCCGTCTCTCTGGGCTAGAACCCTGGACAGTGCATTGTTCCGATCTGCAGGTGACAGCAGCGAAAGCAAAACATGGTTCCGAGGTTTGCCCCGGACTCAGCGTTTGCTGTGGAATAGTCGTCATGCCATTGCCCGAGGTCCCTGTTTGATCAGATCGCAAATATCATCTCCGAGACCGACTTGGGGTGAGGGGGGGTGTGACCAGAGATTTATCAGCACAGCAGAGCTGCATGATTTTTTGCAGAAGTTTATGTGTGTCTTTGTAAAACAAGAGAAGAAATTTCTCGGGACACTTTGGTCTAGAAAAACATCACTCAGGTGGCTTTTGTGGGGATTCTGTAAATGTCAGAGGCTCCATCGTGTTATTGTAACAGATAAGCCTTCTCAGATGAGTCTCTAAAGCCCAGCTCGGGAGGCATTGGGATGTTCATGAAAAGATGTAGCCTCACCCCCTTCCCCGCTGCCTTCCTTGCCTCCCCCCTCCCCCCCACCACAAAGCCCTGTCCCCCAGGCCCGCTGTCGACTGTGTTTATTTTCACAGGGAGCTCAAGGAGAAGATTCAGCCAGAAATCTTGGAGCTGATCAAACAGCAGCGTCTGAACCGCCTTGTGGAAGGGACCTGCTTCAGGAAACTCAACTCCCGGCGGAGGCAAGGTATGGTGGCTGGGGCCGCTCCAACCCGGACCTGCCCCGTGGGAGTCCCAGGGGCGTGGCGCTGGTTTAAGGGGAGGCCATGCAGCACGGAACTCGGACGGGATCCCAGTCCCTGTGAGCTCTGATACCCTGTGCACCCCAAGGGGAACCGAAGTCCAGAATTCCAGAGGATCCACGGAGCTGAAGAGCCCTTCTGGGCCACATAATGCCATGAGTTTGCAGTTGTGGTTCAGCAACAGCTACCGTGTGTTGATTGAGAGCTTACCACGTGCCGGGCTGTGGTGTAACTTACATTCCTGAATTTCACCCTCACAATAACCCGATGAAGGAGCTACTGGGCTGCACCCAGTGTACAGATAAGGGAGCCAAGACCCTGAGGTGGTAAGCACGTCACCCCCAGTCACAGAAGAGCAAGGATGCCCCAGCGGCTCCATAGCCCTTACTTTTGTTTTTATATGTATTTTTACTGATTTCAGAGAGAGGGAGGGAGGGGGAGAGAGAGATAGAAACATCAATGATGAGAGAGAATCATGAATCGGCTGCCTCCTACACGCCCCACACTGGGGATCAAGCCCGCAACCCAGACATGTGCCCTTGACTGGAATGGAACCGTGACCTCCTGGTTCATAGGTCAACACTCAACCACTGAGCAACACCAGCCAGGCCCTAATGTTTTCATCATTTGTATGAGACTCCATAGCTGGTGTGTCAGGGCCAAGTGTGTCCCCCAGTCTATGGGACTCCAAAGCATTGGTGAGGCCAAACCAGCTGGAGAAGGATTTGGGGTTCTGGGGTCTGGGGTCATCTTCTGCTGTGAAGGGAGACAGCAGCCTCCAGGGAGGCAGGATTCTGAATCAAAACACAGGACTCTCCCTCTGAAGAGTGGCCAGTGACATGGAGGACCTGCAGGCAGGGTGACGTTGCCATGGCCTGCCCCTCAGCTGTCGACTTCCATCACTGCACTCAGAGAGGAATCTGGTATCGCATCGCCTGAAAGATGACGGCTCCCTTGAAAATAGTGCTGGGGTCCCTCCCACTGTGTGACTTGGGAAGGTCGGCCTCAGGCAGCCAGTAGACCGCCTGCTGAAGACACCACATTTTCAGCTAAGCTATGAGAGATCCAAAATCCGAATAGCAGTGTCCACTCTGCCTCCCACACACAGGACTTGCAGGCCCCCCCGGGGCCAGCAGCCAGCAGCCAGCTGTGGCCTCCGCACCCAAGACTGAGATGTTGGCTGAGTCCACAGCAGAGGGGATCAGGACACGGTTCTTGTTGGGCCCTGTGCCTCCCTGAACTGGCCAGCCTGTCGCACTCAACAGTGGTAGCTCTTCTTCACTGTGGTCATCTCCCCTGAGGACCCGGGGCCAGCCCCAAACTTGTCTCAGCCTGGATGGTGAAGGCAGACAATAAACTACCCTGTTCGTAGAGCCGCCTTTGGCCAAGTTCATTAACATTCAGTAAAATGTACAGTTTCTTTTCATCCCCTTGATGGAGCAGACACAGAGTATTTCCATCCTCGCATGAAGGTCTGCCGCACGTTACCGCGGGAATTATGATCATAGTGGTTATTAGCTCCATAATGAGCCACGTGACTCTGAGAACAGCTTTAATCAGCCCTGGAGACCTTCCCAGGCTTGTGTGTTTTGAAACCAGCTTTTCCCTCTGATCCTTCAGAGAGATGGAGATGGAGGTGGAGAGAGAGAGAGTAGAGAAGAGAAGGGAAGAGAAGAGAGAGAAAAGAAGAGAGAATTGTCTCCATACTTTAGTTTTGTAGTTTGGGGAAGGAAGAGATGGCTGTTAACGTACTAAATTCCTAATTGACTGGGAGGCCTCTGTAGTAACTCCTGTTTTCTCTTTAAATGCTAGTAAACAGCCTTTGACAGTGTTCTCACTGCTTCTTCTAATTGCTGTTAGTGACACAGTCCACTCACTCATTGCCCAGAGGGACTGTGGAACTGGTACCATCATGCTGGGTTTTGAAAAGAAAACACACACTTTTCTTACCATGAAAGAGACTGCTAATCAAGCTGCCGCTGGCGGCTGACGCTGAAACCGTCTCCCCCACGAGTGGGCGCTGTGCTGGTCGGAGCTGGGCCTCTGCCTTTCCTTAGAGCCGCTCTACCTTCGAGGCAGACATAACCAGGTTAGGGTGCCACCCGTCTTCCCAGCTCGCAGTCCGCCAGCCCTTATCCTGCGGGAGACCCCGGCTGAGCACCAGTATTTAATTCTCAGGAGTCAGAGCAGCCTCCCAGCCTCTCCGTCCCCTTTGCCGTCCGTCCCAGCCTTCCTCTTCGATGGGGAGGAGCAGGCACATCGCTGGCAGCGGTGAGGCACGGTGCTCTCTGCTCTACAGCATCTTAGTGCAGACAGAGAAAGAGGAGCTTCCATGGGACAAGAGAAGGGCTGGGCAGCGAGGTCGGGTCAAGAGATGGTGAGCCTCCAGCCGGAGGAAATTCCATCAGCCGTTCCGTCAGATATCGCTGCGGTCAAGCTCGTTAGCCTCTTGCATGTTCTTGGAACAAACATCGACGGCAACTATGCAAGGAAGATGGTGGTTTTGCCTCCTGGAGCCTGATAAGCAGCCCCTCTTCTCTAGTAGCTTCTGAACATAAGCAGACGTTGCCCCGGGGACCTGCTCTGTTCCTGCTTTTCCCTGCAGTGCGGGCAACGTTGCTGAGCCCTGTCCCTGCTTCTCAGCAGGGGAACAGTTGTCCCCACCGCCCCTCCTGGCCGCCATCAAGAACTTAGAACCCATTCCTTCCCGGAGAGTTCCAATCGGACGCATGGCCTGTTCTCCAGGCAGTGCTGTCCGGAAATGAGTGTTTGGGCAGGGCCGTGGGAAACCCGACCCCTCACCTGTGCCTTTCTGTGTTCTCCTCCTCAGACAAGTTCTGGTATTGCCGGCTCTCCCCCAACCACAAGGTCCTGCACTACGGAGACCTGGAGGAGAGCCCTCAGGGGGAGGTGCCCCACGACTCCTTGCAGGACAAGCGTAAGTGCCCTCCCGCGCGGGCGGCCGGAGGTGGGGTCTTGTTTGTTTCCTGGTCACTAAATATCATGCAGAAAAGCTATCCATCCACCTACATAAACCACCGTAAGTCCTGGCCTGGGCGTCCTCAGGAAGCACAAGACCTTCGTGGCTTCGTGCTAGGGACTGGACAGGGAAGGCGGAAAAGGGTGTGAACCTGGGGTTCCGTCGTCCACTTTCACATGACCTACCCAGGTGCTGTTTCAGGGAGCAGGAACGGTATGAACCCGATTCTGTCCATTGTCCTTTCCTGATGATGGAAATAATCATGACGCCGCCCACATTTACTTGTTATAGTTCAGTGTATCCCATAATTTGATGCAAAGCTAATGGCAGACCCAAATATGCTGCAGTAATCAAAGAGGGCTTCCCTGAGGAGGCAGCATCTAAGCACAGCCTTGAGATGGCACAAAGATGGCTGTCGCATTTAAGCTCCTTGTCTAGAAAAAGTACTCTCTGCCTCTGTTTCCCAACTTCTCCAAAGACGTAACACAGACACTTAGGGAATTTACAATGATCTGCATGTTACTGTTTCCTAAATATTCCCTGAAATACATATTAGTTGTATTTATTTGCTTTTTCTGTAAGACATCTGTTTTAATGTATGCATTTTGAATAACCAGTACTTTGATAGATTATTTTAGCCCAACACCAAACCAGGTTATAGGTTTTCTTAGGCACTATTAAGTATACACTTTAAAGGGAAGATTATAGAAACATTAAAGTATACAAGCCAATGAATTAATTTGAGAGAGAAATGAGACGAAATGAACACAGCCTCAGAAGGTATCCCAGGAAGAGAAATCAAAGAATGAGAAAAATAAAGACACTGTCAGCAGCCTTTGTAAGTCACCCTGGCCCTGCAGTGAGTCCTATCCGTGGGTCCCAGATGGAGCGCTGACCCCCAAGTGCCTGCACCTAACCTCTCGTCATCCCAGGCCCATGGAGGTCAAGTCTGTCTGGCCTCCCTTGAAGCCCATGGCATCGAAGGCGAAAATAGCCCAGGAGTGGAAAATCCTGACACAGTCAGACTCTGCTACATGTCAGACAGACAGCCAGGACCTTCTCTCCTCCCAGCTCAAAAGTGGGGCAGTCCGGGCTTTGTAGTGTCATTTGGCTCAGAACGCAGCCTCCTTTCGCAGGCGCACTGCCTCCCAGCGCTGTTGTTGGCACTGTTCATGGGAAGAGAAGGAAATGGAAGCCTTTCGCTGCAGAGCCTGGGGCAGTGCCTGTGCCCCTGCAGTGGGCATCTGGGCCTCTGTCTGTAAGGAGGACCCTCCCTCAGGTCTCAGGAAACACTCCCTACCCCTCTGTGGACAAGCTGGACCCGTGGCTCTGAGGATGGGTCTGGGACCAGCATCCCTGGGGAACTTACTAGAAATGCAAAGTCTAGGCCTCACTCCCAGACCTGCTGAATCGGACTCTAGGGATGAGGACCCATCCACTGCCCTCTAAACCAAGAACCCATAGGTGTGCAGGCATGTGTGCAGGTGTGTGTGCATGTGTGTGTGTGTGCGCGCATTGGAGACAGCACATCTGTGTGCACATCTGTCCAGAGGGGGTGTAGTCATGTATGACGTCAAGTGAAGCTATGATGTGCCTGAGCTGAGAAGGCCCGGCCTCGGACACTAAGTCTGCTGCCTCGGGCCTGCTGCCTGGTTTGCATGTGATTCCAATGACACACTCTGCCTGGCACCAAATGGCCCTTTCTCTTGGAGCCCTTAAAACTCAGAAACTTCATTCCACCGGAGGCATGAACCAGGCCTTCAGTGAATGTCCAGTGCCATCGCTCATGCCTGGGACACGGCCCTGCCTTGAGACCAAGGGGGACATTGCCTTCCGCCCCTTAAGTTAATCAGTGCTGGATATTGAGGTTCCGATGCATCGAAGCGTCACAGAATCCTCTTCCTACAGAGCGTGGGTGAGGATGGGAGACTCTCCGTAGCTGTCTCCATCCCTGAAGGTTTGGGAAATCAGTTACTCTTATCATATTCGTTTTGTTTGACAGGAAATAGGCCCCTTAAAAATCCCTATCTCCCTCCATCCCCTCACCCCACACCCCTCCCACCAGGTTGACAGGCCCTCATCACCCCCACGAACACTAGGCTCCATTGCCTTTCAGCCCCGGCCCCTCCCCTCCGTGCCTCCCTTTGAGAGAATCTAGGCCATCGCTCTGCACTCCCACATCAAAGGGGCCGGGAGGAGGAGGCGCCCCCACACAAGGCAATGAAGCCAATCACTGAAGACAAGAGGAGCGGCTGAGACCGCAAAGCCAAGTGGGCGATGTGGGTCCCTGATGCTCGGCAAGTAATTCCCGTCCCCAGTCTACAGAGAGAATGAACTCTGATTATTGATAATGAAAACAGCTCCAAATAACATGTATTGAGGGCTTACTGTATGCCAGGCACTGTGCTGAGACCTTTACGTAAATTATCCTCCTGACAACCTGACGAGGTAGATACCATTGCCCTTGTTTTACAGATAAGGAAACTGAGGCACAGGAAAATTAGGTGACTTGTTCAGGGTCACATGGCTAATAAGTGGTAGGACAAAGATCTGAATGCCATCATCCAACACTGTGGCCCAGCCTTGTACCGCTGCTCTGCGCCGCCTGGATTAAAAGCCAGCCGTGATTGTGGCTCCAACCTCAGAGCAGCCCTCTGAGGTGGATGATGTCATCGTTTCACATTGCAGGCGAGGAGGCTTCGGCTCCCAGACATCAGCCCAAAGTGGGACAGCCAGTAGGTGGGTCTGGATTTCAAACCCAGGCTCTGCGACTCCAAAGGCACAGCCCTTCCCACCACGCCATGCTGCTGGCCTAGAGACCGGATTCTTCACAGGCTGCCCTGGGCCCAGCCTGTCCCTCCTCCTCCATAACTCCGCCCACAGAGGCTGTGTCCACAGCAAGTGCTCAGCTTACCAGCTACTTCCAGGGAGATTTCTGCCTCCACCAGCTCCCTGTGGTGAAGACCAACACTGTTTATCATGGTGGCCATATTTACTTGTGCAATGGTATTTTTGTCTTAAGTCACAATTAAAGTTCCTTATATAGGTGTTAGCACTCAAAGAGTTTGCTGAACATATCTGAAGTGATAACCACATCAGGGCTGTTTTTGGTGTGAGTGGGGTGCTGACACCTTCCAAACCTGGGGAGAAATCATGGCCCACCAGGGGAGCATGGAGGGGAAGAGAGAGCAATCGCCCCAGCTCTGTCCCCCACTGGCTATGTGACTTCACATCCTTATTTCCTCTCCTTAGGTCTCAGTCTTCCCATCTATACAATGGGAGTGTTCAATTAGATCATCTCAATCCAGCTCAAAGTGAAGAAAGCATAGAAAGAAATGAAGCCAATGCCCCAAGGATTTAGAGTTGAGGGTAGGGTGCCAGTAGTGACCATCCTGTTCTCATATCTCTTGGCCCCACTTCTCTATGCTGCCCCCCCCCCAAAAAAAAGACCTCATAGAAACTCTTGCCTGGCTTTCACCTCACCCAGAGCCCTCTGCTGCCGTCTTAGAGAGCCATGAGTCTGGTTCTGCTCATGGCAATAGAGAGGGCCTAATTCTCCAGTGCCTCTAGAGCAGTGGTTCTCAACCTTCCTAATGCCACGACTGTTTAATACAGTTCCTCATGTTGTGGTGACCCCAACCATAAAATTATTTTCGTTGCTACTTCATAACTGTAATTTTGCTACTGTTATGAATCATAATGTAAATATCTGATATGCAGGATGTATTTTCAGGGGTCGCGACCCACAGGTTGAGAACCGCTGCCTAGAGGCAAAGTAGGCAAAGAACGGCCTTTAAAAGCCACGGTGTGTTTTTAGAATTAGTGTTTTCCTTTTAGCCGAACTCCTGTCACAGGCAGTGTGTCTCCTTGACAGGGACAATGCCTGTGAGGAATGTGAAGTCTGTCCTGCCGCAAGCAAGGTGGGAAAGCGCCCGTTCTCCCCTGAGCCTTCTCCTTGGACTCTGAAGGCTGCTCCCACGACAGCCTCCGTGCTCATCGTGTCCCCTTCCACATGGGGGGTTCGGAGCCACGGGCAGCTGCTATTTATAGACTGTAGACTCTGGTTCACTGACCGTGTTACGGATTATGCAGCAAAAGACTTCCTGCGTCGGAGGTACTCATGACTCATGTGCCACCTGACGCTGGGGAGGCTTTCTGAACCGGTGGTTCATGGTGTCAAATTCACTTCAGAGGTGGCTTCTCCACTGAACGGTAAACCTGACTTCCCCAAATGCCCTCCCCTCTAAGGCATAGATAGGTAGCCGGGCAGGCCACCGAGAGGAACAGGGCTGCTTGCCGGTTGTGAACATGGATTTGAGGAGAGCTGACGTTTGCGGTTGTCGTAGGCAGTGGGTTCGGGAAGCGTAGGGACCGACTGCAGGTCCTGCCAATGCGAGGGAGAGAGGCAGAGGCAGGAGCGGGCTCCAAGGTGAAGGTTCCACCCCTCAGGGTAGACTGCACTGCTCCGCTGCAGGAACAAACACCCCAAATCTCAGTGGCTCAGGACAGTCAGAGTCCGTGTTCCCTCCCCGAGTTACGTAACTGACATGGGTCACTTACTCGGGGACAGGGGCCAGTGGCTGCCCTGCCATCCCATAGCCGTGCCATCTGGATGGAACATGTGGCCTCTTCAGTTTCTCGGGGAGAGAGGCCAGTGGGCATGGACTTTTCCCTGCCTCCGTCAGTTAAAGAGACTGGCCATTTCCCCTCACACTTCATTGGCCAGAACTAACCACATGGCCCCAAAGGTTGCTGGGAAGTGTAGTCGTCCATATGCTGGAAAGAAAGGAAAGCCAGATATAGTGAGTACAAGTAGTGGGCTGTAGAATCGGGACTGCAGATGAAGGAGCAGACACGGTGGGTCAGATGGCGGGGGGCAGGGGGTGCAGAGATTCCCCAAAGGGTGCATGGCAGCCCCAGTCTTCTTGGGTTGGAGAAAGCCCCAGCATGTCGGCAGATTTGCCCACACTTCTGAGCTGTTTCAGGGTTCCTGGGAAACGTTAGCTTTTAAGGGGTTTTCCTGTTGTATCGCTTTGATAGTCTACATATGTTATGATTCTATCGTCCTCTAAGTATGACCCTCGCAACTCAATTCCCCAGTAAAAGTATGTGAACTTTAGTTGTGAAATTTCTCGTCATCTTCGCCATTAAGGGAATAATTACTGGTTGATTACTTAGAATTCAGTACTCAAAGCTTCCGCAGATCCGAAGTGAGACTCCCAGTCTCTTATGGGACAAAAGATTAGCAATTGGAGAGGGACAGGTGACTTTGAATTTTTTTAAGGTTCCAAACCTTCTCTCTCTCTCTCTCCCTCTCTCTCTCTCTCTCTCTCTCTCTCTCGACTTTAACAAAACGTTTTAAATGCAAACACCTTTCCATCTCTTTTTATCTCCTTTCAAGTCCTGAGTAAAACATGAGATAGCATCTTTTCATCTAACTGCGCGAGAAATACCAGCTACCATTTTCCTATCAGGAAAGAGCATTCCCTTCCTTGCGGTTCAGTGTCCTTGTCTGTGAGACAGGGAGAATGAGCCCTGCCTTGCAGAACTGTTGTGGGAATAATGAGCTGGGGACGGGGAGAATGACAGTGGGGGCTCAGGACTGTTTCGTCAAATAAATGCTTTATGATAGGGCTGCTTTTCCTCATACCCACAACTCGGAGACTAAATAGAAGCAGATACTTCATCGAGAGACCCTGACATACTCGAAGCACTTGGCCTTGTTTTTGGCACTCAATGTCTTCCACAATATCAGTATTAGTACCACTGTTGCTGTTACCATGACTGCTTCCTCTAATTCTGTCACTTTTCACATGACTGCCGTGGGATTTTTTTTTAGGTATTTGTCGTAATGAACTAAATTCTGTTTATCAACATAGATTCTTCTCCCCAGGGATGCTTTTTGCCAGAATATAAGAATATATATTCGTTTCCAAGGCCTGGGCACTGCCTGCCTTCTCTTCCTCTTTGCAACTCTTCTTTCTCTTTGCTGTGGTTTCTGGGGTGGCTGCTGGGCTAGCAGGCGCCATGCTCAGTCCTGCTTCTTTGCTGGCGTCTCAGCTTTGACATGGTGGCGTTACTTTCATTTCTTTTATGAATTGCAGTGCCGGTGGCAGACATCAAAGCGGTGGTGACAGGGAAGGACTGCCCTCATATGAAGGAGAAAGGTGCCCTTAAACAAAACAAGGTATGGCTTCCAAATTATGGCATGTAGTTCTGTCTGAGCAATGCAGCAGCCATGGGCCCAGCCTTCGTTCTTCAGCAGCAATGCGCATGTGCATGCATGCCTGCCTGCCTGCGTCCGTGTGTGTGTGTGTGTGTGTGTGTGTGTGTGAGTGTGTGGTTGCACATCTTTCTCTTTTCCTGATTTCTTTTACATCTATCAGCTTTATTTTCCCTCCCACCAATCATGTGTTGAATCCGTTCTCTCCCTTCCTATGTCCAGCCCTAGGACTTGCCCTCTCACTATTGTCCCTGGTTTCTCTCCAGCCTTGTCCGTTCACACACACCCCCCACCTTCCCTGGGCCTCTGGGCCTCTCCTAACCTCCCATGGGTGTTTATATTCTCCCTTACCCAACTCCACCCCCCCCCAGTCTCTTTCATTTTCTCCTGTTATCACTGGGGTCTCGGTGAAGCCTGGGAAAGGCAGAGACCAAACGACTCAGAAAATCGTAGAAAATGTTTGAGGCCTGACATCCTCAGGATGGTGGAGAGGACTGTGAAATAGACCAAACCCAGCTTCCAGCAGAAGCTTTCCCCAGAGCTGGATGTCGCTTCAGTCCTGTTCACATTACAATAGTTTCACCCACCCCTGCTAGTTGACCAGCTGGCTGTTCACCAGGACAGCCCGCGGCCCTGCCAGAGAGTGTGCCAGGGGCATCCTCTGAAAAGAGGCAAGATTTCCTTTGCCCCCAGTTTGCAGGTATTTGATCTTGGAAGGGCCACAAGGAAGCCAATTCTTTGTTGATACCTCTTGGCGCCTTGTGATATATAGTACCCATCCATGAATGAATTAACCAGACCCATCAGGGCGCTCCCGCCACCTTGGTACCAAAAATTATCATATAGATCAGTACGTTGCTCTTCAACTGTTCACTGTTGGTATCTATGAGGAATATAAACATTATGTGCATTTTACCTATCAGTCAGGATTAAAGTGAATAATTCCTGCTCCGTCATCTCTAACACGAAAAGGTAGTGGGGAATCCTGGTCTGCATTGGATGACCCTGTCTATGGTTGAGGAAAAACAAAAGTACATGCATACACACACACACACACACACACACACACACACCGAGTTCTATCCTCAAGGTCACCTGGGTAGATGGGACAGAGTCCACAGAGTTAAAGTGATTGCTGGCCAAAGTGGCCATATGAGGCGAGTCACCCCAAAACAAGATGAGGAATGGCAGCCAACACTGTGTACTGAAAATACGTTGTGTAAATCATTGCTCTTGTATCCATTCAGTCCATTATTTGGCCCTGGAAGATGACAGTCCCAAAACCAAGGCGCCATCATGCCCAGAATTTCTCTGAGCATCCCCCGACCCAATGTGCCTCATCCCTGGGTCCAAGCCCAGAGGGTAGAGCTTGAGGTCAGAGGCCCTGGGCAGGGGGGGAATCTTCAGGTCCTCCTGCTCCTCTGTCCCCAGAACTCACCCTCCTGGGCCTCCCGCCGCACAGTGAGGGGGGCCTGGTGAATCAGTGGGACAAAGGATGGCCATGAGCTGCTCCTGGACATCAGTTTTCTCTGAATTAAATTCACTGAGAATAAAAGGTCTTAGGCGGTGAGCTCAGATGGCTGAGTGAGTCCTGTGGGGTGTGACAAGGAGCCCCTGAGGGGGACACTGCCCCAGATCCATGACAGCATGCCCCCCACCTCCTGGCGCCTCTCTCCCTCCAGAAGGTCTGGACAGGTGGCAGCTCCTGGAGTGTTAGCCCGAGAGGTGTCATTGCTCCCAGCTCTGCAGCCGCCCGCACCACGTGCGGAAGAGCTGACCTCCACCGACAACTCAATGACAACAAGCCAGAGACATCAATAAACTCATTATAAGTGATAGCAGCCTTGAGACAGGCATGCAGCTCGGAGAATTAATTCCTCCCCCTTCCTCCCCTCCCAGGCAGCTTCGGTGAAATTAGAGTGGGGACTGACATGCTCCCGAATTTCCCATTTCCTGCCTGTTGTATCGGGAATCTGGGTCAGGACAGTGCCCCTCGTTCACGTCCTCACTGCTATATGCCTCAGAAGGGCCAAGACCCACGTCTGCAGCCCCCTTTCCTTGTCGGTGTCCCTGAACAGAGACAGTGTCACAAGGTCAACCACACCGACCCTCTGGCCTCCGGTGACTTCTTCTCTTCTAAGGTTGCACCCTGCCGACTGCTCAGTCCAACGGAATAATTGTTGCGCTCAATATTGTACAGTGCAGACGACTTGAGAAGTGCACGTTAACATACATATTAGACAGGACACCGAGTGTCTCCCCCCAGGTCACTCGGCTACAATGAGATGACCGTGTCCCTTAGTCCTTGGTCCTTGTGTCTGGCTCCTCCTGTCTGCACTCAGTAGACACCAATGAATGAACCCAGCTCTTCCGACATTGGGCCTAGGCTCCCCCTCTGGCTGCTATGGTATAAAATCCAGGGTGGGTAGCCTTTGCTCTACAGAGTTCAAAGATCAAGAGACAGACATGGTCCCTAAAGATAATGGGTTCACCAAAGAGCGTCATTACCTGCCATGTTGTAGGAAATTCACACCCCTTCGAGCATCTATCTGGTTGAGGTGATCAAAGGTAGAGCGGCCCTGTGCTGCTGACTGGGGGGGAGTTTACAGCTTCTCGTGGTCCCCCTGGAGGAGCGGTGCTGAAGAGAGAGCCACAGCTTTGGGTGGCGTGGCCCTGAACCACTCACTGGGCAGCCACGTCTCAGGACACACCGGGAGCCCTGCTCCCTGTTGAGGCTGCGAAACGAACAGCCCTTTCCCTGAGCGGTTGCTTTTTCCAATCTCTTGCAGGAGGTGCTTGAACTCGCTTTCTCCATCTTGTACGACTCGAACTGCCAACTGAACTTCATCGCTCCTGACAAGCATGAGGTAAGGTCTTGGTGGGGTGAACTGATGAGAGGATGTCACACTTTCTCTAGAAAAACAAGCAGGAGGAAAATAGGGGAAAGAAAGGAATTTCATTTTTAAAAAAAGCCAAACCATGAACAAAGAAACATCTTGTAGACTTGGGGTGGAATGGGAACCTCTTGAAAACCTGCCAGCTTCCCTCCGGCGCAGTAAGAGTCCATGTAAAGCAAAGAGTCTGCAGATGCTTAAGGCTCAGCCAGGGCCTCGCTGCGACCCCAGAGGGGGCCGCCCTGGGTACCACTCTGGAGGTTTCATGGAATACTTCGTTCTTGGTCAGGATTTTCCCAAGACAAACTTGTCTCTATTCTTTAAAATACTGTATACACGCTGCCCGGCCAGCTTGGCTCACTAGTTGAGTGTCAACCTATGAACCAGGAGGTCACGGTTCGATTCCCGGTCAGGCCACATGCCTGGGTTGTGGGCTCAGTCCCCAGTGTGGGGTGGGCAGGAGGCAGCCAATCGATGATTCTCTCTCATCACTGAGGTTTCTATCTCTCTCTCCCTCTCCCTTCCTCTCTGAAATTAATAGAAACATTTTCTAAATAAAATACTATCTACACCCAAAACTCACATAAAATAATATTGGAAAATAGAATTTAAAAACGCATTTGATAAGGGAGGTTTTCTTTAAATTATTTGAGAGGTTTGAGGCTGTCTCCACCGCCGGGTTTTATTTCTGAGATGCTTTTGTTCCTTTCTGACATCCTGTTATATGTATGATTTGTTTCTCTTCTGGAGGCACGCTGTCAGCTATATTTAAAATATTTAGCATGAGCTAGGAAAGAGCGTTTGGAAGGGAAAGTACAGCGATGGTTGATTTACCTTCTTCTCTTGTAAGCTCGAATCCGGCATCACGCCGGAGACTTATTTTTAGACGGCGCCATTCAGATTTGGTCGGCGTGTGGCCGCATAAACAGCTCTCAGAAAGGAGGGGACGGGTCCGTAAATCCCACTTTGTTCCCCGGCCTCCGGGAGCGGCGCTCATTTGGAAGTTATTCAGAATCCGGCTTTCACTGGTTTGAAGCTTTTGAATAAAATTGTACATCCCAGAGCGAGAGGAGAGATTAGACGCAAATCCTGCATTTAGAGTGGTGCTTGCATATCATTCTGGGCTGCTTGACATTTAGTTTGCAGAAGGCTCTGACTTTGTCCTCGTCGTCCTGAAATAGATTCTGCGTCCCACTGTTTCTCTTTGGAAATGAAACTGTGGTTGCGCTCAGGCCACCACATCCACGCTGTGCCCTAGAATAGGAGACTGGGTGCTGCTGAAACGGTGGGGGGCTTTCCCTGGAGCGCTCATTCCAGGTAACGCTAAGTCTGGGCCGCCAGGGCGCATGTGTGTCCGCCTGTGATGTGGGAGGAGAGCCGCTGTGTGCGTGTGAGCACTTTCACCCTCTTCAGAGCACTTTCCCGTCTGCTCCCTCATTTGAGTGGCATCCTCACGCCGTAAAGTAAAAACAATGGTCCCAGTGCCCCTTTACCAGGGAGGAGAGAGGCACTTCCCGGCGGGGGGAGGGAGCACCTCGACAGCAGGAAAGATATAATGATTGATACTCCACTGAGCTTCTCTCCTTCCTCTCACTTGACTCTCATCTAACATCCAAAAGAGCGAACCAGTAGAGTCCCCGTTCGTGAAGGGGGGAAATAGCGCAGAGGTTAGGACACGTGTCCCCGGTCAAACAGGTCGTAAGCGGTGGAGCTGGGATTGGAGCTGTGGGGGGCATTTCTCCGGAGACCCCTGCTCTCTGGCTCCTGCTCTGTGTGGCTGCACAGAGAGAGAGAAAGCGGGGCCTAACTCTCAGCTCCTGCCTGTGCCCAGCACCTCGCTTCAGCCGTTCTCAGCTCAAGGCCAGTCTGGGTCTATCTTGCACCACCCCCACCCAGCGCCACCCCCACCCAGCGCCACCTCCACCCAGCGCCACCTCCACCCAGCGCCACCTCCACCCAGCACCATCTTCACCCAGCACCACCTCCACCCAGCACCACCCCCCCCAGCACCATCTTCACCCAGCACCATCTCCACCCAGCACCACCCACACCCAGCGCCACCCACACCCAGGGCCACCCCCACCCAGCGCCATTCCCACCCAGCGCCACCGCCACCCAGCGCCAC